AGACAGAGCTATGAAGCCGTGTCGGAATGGGAGAAGATTAATACTGCGGTGCTAATTTATCTGCTTTTTCATGTGAACAGATCTAAATAGCGCTCATTAGTTGGTTGTATTCCCATAGTTCAAACGAAATTGAGAGGTTTTTTACTTATACTTACAATATATACCGATTATAATGTCATTACGTACAATCAATCGTTTATATTGGAATTGTTGGATTAGGGTTCTGTATTAATGTTGTGTGCAGTCTGAATAAACATGCTTTTTCTATAAAATTATATCTTTGACTATTATATATTATACTGTATACCCGCAGTGTGGAGACCTTATTCGGCGGATTCTTTATGTGTTAGATCATAGAGGTATCAGTAACTTATTGCTACTACTTCGAAGAGGGAAGCAGATAATTATTCGCAATCTAGCTGTTAGCATGTTTATTATTAACTTGCAAGAGAATGTGTTCCAAATCTCTGATAAGAATATTTTAAATGTTCTTTATTGGTTGTCAATTTCCGATATTCAATTTGTATATCTATTTGTATGCGGATTGAGAGAGTCTCTTATGAAAATTAGAAAGAAAGTTAGAAGAAGCATGAACTCCCCCCATGGCAGTAAAGGACAGGAAATTACCAATAGAAAGAAGAAAGCTACCGGGAAACATAAGACACAGGCACCCTCCAACTAGTCTGTGAACCAAGGGAACCGAGGATTCTGGCGCAATAGGACCCTGGCAGCAACAAGGCGAACAGCAGAAAAGACCCACTCCCAAGAGAAGGAAAACCAAGACACCGCTACCTTCAGGAAAAAAGCAAAGATAGAAACTCAAAACCCAGGGAAGGAGGGGAGAGAAAATTAGAAGAAGAGGCAAAGTTGCAAAAGGAACAAGTCTATTAAATGGATCAAATAAAACCCGAATCTCAGGGCGAGAGCAGAGGCATCAAAGGAGTAGAGAAGGTCCATGCCAGCAGGAAGTAAAGTATCGTAAGAAACAGAAGGAGTCAAGCCCAGAGAATCGAGCAGAAAGAGCTCCTCCCCTGCCCAGGAATAATAAGAGATTACCGCGCAATAGATCCCTCCAACACACGTATAATAGATGGCATCAATGAGATTAAACCAAGAGTGTTCATTTCTTCAGTGAGAAATATCCGTTCCCGACTCCCTAGAACACCAGAACATTACAGTATAAAAAAGCCGCTCGAGGGATTCAGCACCTCTCGCGATACAGGTATTTTCTAAAAGGCAACTGAGAAAAACACTCAAAACCAATCCCCCCTAAGTTCCTTGACAAGGCCCCCCTGCGAGGAAGATAAGAAATCTTGGGAATATCCGAAGAAAAGTAGGAGCAGGAGTAAAAATATCTTGAGTAGGAAGGAGCCGTTTGCTATGCCAGTGAGAGGCAACTAAGGGCAAAGGCAGAGAAGTAACCTAAAATAAATTAGCCGTGAACCCACCACAGCAGATAAGTCTCCCGACAGAAGTCGATAAAATGAGGATATTAAGCCCCGGAATAGACAGCAAGAAATTGAGTCCCACAGAGTATATATGAGACCAAGAGTCATCAGAGTAGACAGAGAACCTCAGACTTTAAGGAGGCGACAGAATAAAAATTGAACAGATTAGCGGCGCATGAACTGAAATTACTAAATCAGATAAGACAAGGACAGAGACTCCAACATACCAGGGAAGAGTCAAAGAAGCAATGCCTCAAAGAATTATCCACATTAACATGCAAACAAAAAAATCATCCCCCAGACCCCCACAGCGTCACCTACTAATACACGGCAGTAGGGGGGCCTCAGGAGGTTACAAAGATTAGAACAGAAGTCCCTAAGCAATATAAGATAGATCTATCAATAATGCTCTAAAAGAGTTGAAAACGTCCTACCAGCCGCTAACAGCGAAACTTCCCCCCCCCCCCACGAATAAGCAGGCAGCCGAAGTGACGATTGCTTGAGGAAAATGTGTCTATAGTAGTCTAACCAGGAAAGATAAATAAGGGAAGCCAAAGTGGAATTCAGCGCCTAAGGCCGCACAAGAAGCACGAAATCCAGAAGAAGCAGCTTTCATAAACACGGAAAGCCACCCAACAACCAAAACCTCCCCCGCACGTTCTCTAAGCTGAGGCTTAACCATCTGAGTCTCTCACAACATAAATTCGCACAGTAATAAATTCTCAGGGGGGGATCAACGTAGAGTCATGGAATAGCCCCAGAACCTAGACCACTATGAGCAGAAAATAATAGAGAACTAGTTTAAGAGTAGAGGACCTCAATAGTTTCCTTATATAAAAGGCGCCTGCTCACCAAAATACAGGAGGATAGGACTCGCGCCTATTCCAGGGAGGCTAAAATGGACATGATATCACCATACCAGTTCAAGTCGTAGGTACACATTACGGGATATCAAGGCAGAACGGAATATTTCCCGAAGTAAATTCAGGGGCCCAAGCAGCCCAAGGAGCCCAAGGAGAAAAATCCCCAGGAAGATCTGAACCAACATCTGATCTAAGATAAGGATGATTTAAGAAGAGGAAGGAGGGGATGAGAAGGGAATAGGACCAGGCAGTAAAATCTGAGAGTTCTCAAGTGAAGGAAGTCACAGTAACAGGATAAGTTAGGCTAAGCAGACTTGGAGCAAAAGAATAACGTAACTCCACAATGAATATTCGTAAGAATGAGTAAATAAAGAGGGCAACAAATCGGAAGGCAGAAATTAAGTACACCAAAAATCTCCCAGAAACGAGCTCCCGAAACCGACAAAGTTACCGGGAAACAAGAAATGAATATTAGTGATTAGACACATACATCTGAATAAAATGAGAGCAAGAGTACTGTGACAGTGAACAACGAATATATGATAAGAAGATTGACCCAAAAAAGGCCGACCTCCCTATAAATCAATACGAATAAGAACTTCAGTTATTACGAAAAAATCATCAGAAGCGACTTCTGCATCTTCGGAACACGACATCATTTCCTGAGGGAGTCAGCCTTTGATTCAAGAAACAATTCCCGTAGGTTTCTCTCGTGAGCGTAGTGTTTTAGATAGCAAGGATGCTAAATAAGGAATACGCATCCGGAGGGGGATGAGATCTCTCATGAACCCAAGAGGTTGTTGCTCAAAAAAGAAGAAAGCTTAATCCACCTAAATGCTCCCAGCCCCAAAAAAATTCGAACCCACGACAAGTTAAGTCTCTGGAGAAAATGAGGATCACTTGACAGGGGAGAATTCAGAACCCACCACAGCTCAGAATTTTAATCCGGCCCTAGTGGGAGCACCAGATAATATTGTCCAGGAGTATACTAGGAAGATCTCAACTCAATGTCCCCGTAAAATATGAATAGAAGCAACTCCACCCACTGAAGGAGGATGATAAAGCGGAGTTGATTGAGTTCATACGTGAGATCGCAAGCGTCAAGAAGGAAATAACCCCAGGGAACCAAACGCGAGATTCAGGTAAAGTATCGGGCCAGGAGTGTTTTCCGTGGAATATCGTAGAGAGGCTTAACCAATTCGTCCAATCCGTTGAAATAAAAGAGGAAGCCGAAGTACTGAGTGATCAATAAGAGAAGCTGGACTCGAGCTAGGCAGGGGCGCTGGCGTTCAGGACCCACACGGGGCCGAGTCAAAGAAGTTGATGAAGAATGGTATTAGAATTAGTGAGTTAAGGATTAAGACGACCACCTGAACTAGATAGATTTTGATAGCGGTGATTAAGAGTAGAACATAAGTCTTTATTACTCTGGACTCGTCCTTGATCAAAGAGTTATGAAGAGGAAGATAAGAACAACCCCTTGTTAGAGATAGGGGGCGCTATATTCCGAAAGTGAAGAGATTTAAAGCATTGGTTAAGCAAGGCGTCCCCTGAGATCCCACAAAGAGAACCAGCAGTCCGCCGGGCAATCGATGGGAATAGAGGCAACTCTGAATCAAGAGAGACGCGCGGAATAGAGGAAGATGTGGGAGCATCTGACAGAGTAGTAGGGAGTGGTGAACCAGAATAGGGATTAAATACCAGCAACCGAATAATCTCTGTCAGTCTGAGTAGGATTCAGGAAGCCATTTTATTTGAGATTCACTCAACAGGCGGGACCCGTAAGATCTGTGAGGCTGAGAGAAAGCAAACCCCTCAAGGGGGATTAATTTCGTTAGGGTCGATAGCTGTACTATTCTGCACGGCTCACCTAGGGAGTCGTAGCCAAAAGGAAAGAGTGGCCGTGGAAGGAACAGGAGGTAAGGCGAAGCAGGCAAAGCAAGAAATAAGAAAAGGTGAGGGAGAGGGAAAACGAGTAGTCGGGAAGCAGAGGGTCTCAACGTAGAACATCCGGGAAGGGCAATGTAGGAAAAGGAGAGACAAAGCGGTCCGTGTCAAGAGGGCAAGAGCAGAAGTAACATTGAGTAGTCGTGGGGGATGTAGGCCAGTAGAATTAGAAATTAACGACTACAATAAGGAAGAGACTTGGAGGTGAGAATTCGCAATAAGAAGAGTCTTGGGCAGTATATGAATATCTTAGCAGGTTAAGGGAAGGCTTCCGGCGACTATTGTAGTAGAATTTTTGAGTAGGAGAGGAAAACTTTATGAAGTTCAGGCACTGTATTTCTCGGGGTGTCCTCTCGTATATCCAGGACTTTTGGAGACTGGAGTCGTTAGAAATCACGTGAGAGTAGAGGTGGAGTTTAGGGTCGGGGGAGGCTGAGGTTGATAATATTTAAGGAATAGAACAGAAGGAGCAGGTGGATTCAGAGAGGGAGAAGGATGAGGATATTGATGTTCTTCATTGTATTATACTTAGGAGGGGGATGTTGCGGCGAAGAGGCAGTTGAAGAAGAGTTAGAGAGCGTCTACAAGAGCCTGATGAGGAGAGTTTTGGAATGTATCCTGATACCTTATATGTGTGGAAGGCGGGTGGGAGAGATGAGTTACCCGAATCCGGAAGTTATGGCGTCGTACTTTAGGAAAGAAGGCGGCGCCTCCGAGGATGAGCTTAAGGAGGACAAAGAGCGGGAGGGGGAGGTCTAGGGTTTGGGCATTGGGGTTTCGAATTGAGGCCTTAGGGTTCAGAGTTTAGGGTTAGGTTCTATGGTTTAGGGTTGAGTGTTCAAGCCTTAGGGTTTAGGATTTATGGTTTAGCGCTTAGGCCTTAAGGTTCCGGAGTTGAGGTTTAGGTGTACGGTTCAGGGGTTTCGGTTAGCGTCTAGGGTTTACGGTTGAGGGTTCTGGCTTTAGGGTTTAGCATTTGGGGTTTAGGCTTTAGACTTTAGGGTTCAGAAGTTTGGGTTTGGTCTACGGTTCAGGGTTTAGGATCTATGTTCACGGTTTATGGGGTTAGGGTTCAGGGTTCAGCGTCCAGTGTTTCGCGTTGGGCTTTACCGTTTACGGTTTAGGGGTTAGTGTCGCAGCGTCTATGGTTGGGAGTTTTATGTGTCAGCGTATTATGGTTCACGGTTCATGGTTCAGAGCTTATTTTTTACGGTTTAGGCTCCAGGGTTCAGGGGGTATGCTTCAGGTGTTACGGTTTACGGTCTAGTTTTCAGATTCTAGGTTTAAGCGTTAGGGTTTAGGGTTTGGTGATCATGGTCTAGTGTCCACTCGCTAGAGTTCAGGGTTTTGGGTTCAGGAGTCAGGGATTATCATTTATGGACTAGGGCTTTAGTTCTCCGGGTTCATGGTCCAGGATTTATGTTGCAAACTTTACGGCTGAGGTTTTATGTTCTATGTTTCAGGTGTCAGTGTTAGGTGTAGCCTTCAAGGCCTAGGGTTTAGGGTTCAGGCTTTAGTTTTTAGGCCTCACGATTCGGGGTGTCCTGAGGTGATGTCGTTCACCTCCCGCGCCAGGGTGCAGGCTTTTAGTCTCTAGGTCTTTGGTGTTAGGGTTCAGGGATTAGGGTCCAGGTTGCAAGAATCAGGCTTTAGGGGTTAGGGGTTCGGGTTCAAGTTGTATGATTTTGTCTTAGTGTTTAGATGTTATGCTCTATTTTTTGCGGGTAGGACTGATCTGTGAGGTTTATTCCTTGGATCTCATTCGCAGGGTTTATGGTTTTGGATGAGTTTCTACGATTAGCGTCCATCCATCAAATGTTACTTTTAATGCCGGGTGTCCAAGTTTATCTCCTAGGGTATATTGTTGTGACTTCAGGGTTCAGGACTGCGGCCCAAGAGTTAACTCCTCGGGGGAGAGAGGGGCTGAGAGTCATGCTTTATGTTCTAGTTGTGTGCCTTCGGGTTCGTTAAGTTGGTTTCATGAGTTAAGCGGGAGGGTGGCCTGTCCTCCTTCAGGCTTCCAATCTTATGTTGTCACCGATTCTAGGTCTATTTTTCAGTGTTTATGGTTTAGTGTTAAGTTTATTCCTTTGATTTGGACGTTGTTGACATGCTCAGCGGACGCCTTAGGCCTTATTATGAAGCCCTAAAATTTCAGATTCATCTCTGACAGGGGAATCTACTGCGTCTATTACATCTTCCAGGGGTTCTCCCCCATGAAGGTTCTGAACTATCTTAGTCCATCTCCTACACCACGAGATCATGTTTATTTTTTCATCTCAGAATTTTCTTGAGAATTCGGCTGTGTTCTCGCGTATCCTGACCATTTATGTCTTAGCACTTAATGTTGCGGTCTTATCTCTTACGTATTTCACAGAACGCCGTACATTACTAACAGCAGACTGCGGCATATTAATCTTTAACGTCTTCGAGAAGTAGAAAATAATTACCAGAAGCCGAAGTGACTATGTGAGTCAATAGTGACACGCATGTATTTGCAGATAAATCACAGGAAATCTATTTATTCTTATAGAAATATTAGATTCTGCATCTATAGGAACATACAGAGAAACATATGTAATAGTCACAGAAATGAAAAGAAACAACAAGAAAAACACGCCTGTGCCTTAATGTAAGGGTTCCCCTTACATCCTTGCCCTAGTCCTGATGCCGAGGACAATAATAGGACAGGGGCGAAATCTTAAGTTTCTTTTCTTCTAAGGGGGAGCAGCAGCGGACGTATAACATATCTACATATTTGCGATTTCGATTAGGTTGTGGAGGATGGATAATCCGGTATTCTTCTAGAAAGAACATGTTACAGTAAAAAGGAATTGAACAATTTTTTTCTATTACTTTAACTATCCATTCTACATCCTCTATTCTATACCGCTTTCTCATGGCTAAGTCTGTCTTTTATTCAAGATCCGTAGGAATAATTCATAGCATCCGCACAGTATTTGCATGATGAGTGCTCAATCTCCCGGCGAATTGGGTACATAATTAGAACACCATTTTGTTAGAATTTAATATATACCCTAGCACTTGGCAGCGAGGAAGGCAGGAAAGCACTGGGAAAAACATAGGACACATTAATTTTACCTAAGTGGAGGGGTCCCCGCTGGCGCTATGGATTGAGGGGGGAAGGAGGACTAGTCCTTCGACTTGGATCGAATCAGACAAATATGCATTCAGGTAATGTTAAAATTCATAAATGAGTTTAAGTGCGCCGAAAGAACTGACAGAAGCAGTGACAATTATGAGAACAATTCCTAGGAATAGTGCTCCTTTCTCTTCTGGGTAAACGTCTCTTATGCATTAATCCTCCTGTGCGACTTCCTTAACTGATGGGTGTCCAATATTCTCTGCATTATCACCACAGAGAAGGTAAATGGGAGTCACAGGACAAGGACGATGTCTGTTATTTTTTCAGTGAGGCACCCCTTGTTAATTATTACCCCGCTAGTGATTCCGCTGCGCGAGCTTCTCAATACATATGGTGGTTAGAGGAAAACTATATTCGGCTTTACCCTATAGAATGTGATGACCCCTAATGCAGTGAATGTCCTGCTGAAAGACTTTTGGATAAATGTATAGATTGAGCAGAAGGGCCACGTAAACAATTTGTACGCTGACTGCTTAGATCAAGGAGAATACAAAGAAGAAAATTTATGTACAATCTAAAAGAATCATTTCAATGGAACAACGTCCCCTTCACGTTATCAACATCTGCAGGCTTCACAGTGAGAATTCATTATCCATCTGTACTTCATCATTCTGCGAATAAAAGCACGGCCGATAATAAGTTACCCTTAACTGTTGAGAAGTATCACTTTACCGTGGAAGTTAATTAAGGGGAAAGAGCCAATTGAGAAAAAGAAAAATCCAATATGCAGATCTGTTCAAACGGCAATAGTAAAAAAGTGATAAAGCAAAAGTTACTCTATTAAAAAAAGTTACACACAAATAAAGCATTTTGTCATTTTAGATAAAATTCGGAAAGGACAGAAAGATGAGAAATGTATCATACGTGGGTATGGTAGCACTTTAATGCTCACAAGTGCGTCACGTTGGCAATAAGGGGACTGAATTTCATCCTCCATTTTCTGCGCATAAATTTGTTCTTAACTGAGGATATATTCATTACAACTGTGCGGAGTGAGTGGATTTCTTACTGATTTAATAATGTCTCTGTTTGGGTAAATTCGTCTGTTTTTTTCTTTTTTGTTTTTCCTTTTTTTTATTTTTTCGGATAAATAGCGTAGTGATGAAAATGCTAAATGTCCTTGCACACGTGGTAATCATATTCATTTCGTTGTTATTCCTCCTGTTCTTTTTTTTCCCGAAAGGATCAATTTTGTCTGCTTCATAATGTGCACGTTCTGTACATTTTGCACATTTCCATTTTTAATTCTTTCCTCTTTTTAAGAAGCTTCGTCTTTGTTTTTTTTCGTTCAATAAATTGTGTGCACACACATGCAAAGCTTCCCTCTTTGGATTCTTCACCTCCTTGGGCCATTTGGCTTCCCCTTCCTACGTGGCTATGCCCTAGGCATTTTGCTCTTTGCCCTCTCTCCCAGGGGATTGTTTTTTCTAATTTCTGTTGTACATGTTTCATTCGTTTTTTTTCTTCTTTTGTATCATAATTGTGCCATTCATTTTGTACGTGACTTGTTCCTCCATTAATTTTTCCCCTACCTGAGGGAGCACACTTGGATTACCCTCTTCTTCACATGTGTTGCGGGGAATCCTTTCCTCTTCATTTCTTTGGAATATCTGTCTTGCCAAAGGGGCTGTCACTTCGTCCCACTTCGACACTCTTCCATTGCTCCCCTTCCCCGAAAAACTTCTTACGCGTTATTATTTGCTCTATCTCCGTGCCCAAATTTCTTTATGTATCCCTTTTCGACACACTTCTCCCCTTCTGCTTGTGCTGCTTCATGCTGCTTCCAATGCACAAACGTAAAAGAAAACCTCTAAATTACAGTAATAAGCTCGAAGCTGCGGCTCTCACGCAAGGGTTCCTATTCCTTACTAGAAAATAGAAAAATAATCCTCTCCTTGTGGATTACATGGGGAATTTCCCATGTATAGTGTAGAGCCTGTTGGGGGGGTGGGTCAAAAAATCGTCGTCCTTTGGTACACACCCTGACTGAGGGGGAAGCTGCTTATACAAACTTGGCCAAGTCGACACGCCATCGTATCATCGTATTACCGCTCTTCCACTTCTCCGCCTCCCTAAACCAGGGGCAGCGGCCCTGTCTCAGGCACGGCCACCTGCAGTACTCTGCCAGAAGCTGCCCTGAAAATCCTGTCAAAGATGGAGAGGCTGCCCTCATCGACGCACTTTAAATTTACGATCGAAATTAGGATTCCCTCAGACTTGTGTTCTATGGCTAGCTCTTCTGCTTGTCTCAAAAGAAGGAAAAAGTTCTTCATCACCAATTTCGTCTGTTCTTCTTTGGTGTGCACTCCTTCGTATGAGATGTTAATATATTTCAGAAAGTTCCCTTCGTGCCGCTCAAAAGAGTTGCCGATGTCCAGAAGGACGCACTTCGCCAAGCAGATGCTGGCAATCGGCTTCTTATTCGTTGATCCACTTTGGTCTCCTCCATCGACCACCCTGTCCAGCAAGTACGTCGACACGACTGGGCTGTAGTGCGTGAGCAGAAGGCCCGGACTGACCTCATTCTGCGCCGCCTCCTCCACAACGTTGCCACTTAAATGGCTGGAATGGCAACTGCTTAGCGCGCCGTTCAAGGACACGTTTAGTGGCTGTTTCCATTCGGCACTCAATTCATCACCGCATTGGCCACCTCCCTCCCCGCGGAAAATGGCCAGATTTTCAAACTTGATCTTTTCGTACAACTCGACCTGTATGTCTCTGAGGAGGGGACAGGATTTGAGGGTTTCCTCTATCTCCTCTTTCGTGTACTTTCCCCTCCGATAAATTCGGATACGATAGTCGTACAGGCTCTTGTACTTGAGTATTTTTCCCAACAGGGTGGGTTCACTCGTTTTTGGTAATTCACCTCCCATTCCTGACACGTCTTCCTGCAGTCCCTTCCCGCGTGCAATGGCCTCAAACAGACCTTTCAACCTGTCGTAAACTTCCACGTCTGTGTTTGACATGGGGGTTCCCGTAACTCTACGCAAAAATTCCATTTTGTCTGTGCATTCCTTCTCGTATTCGTCATCCGTGGTGACTTCTTCTGGTTGGGGAAGATCCTTCTGTTGGATCGCTTCACAAGTTTCACCCCCTCCTCTCAGCCGTTGAGGCTTTCCGACCCGTTCCTTCTTATACTTGACCAGCTTCAAAACAGTGGACTCAATGCCTATGTCGCACTGCCCATCGTCAAAGATGAGAATGTTCTCATTTTCAAATTCTTGGAAGACATGAGCAGAAGTGGTAGGACTGATGTGTTGAAACTTGTTGGCGGACGGAGCTGCGATTGGCACTTGGCTCACTTTTATAATCTCCATGGCGATGTTGTTCCTTGGCATTCTTACAGCGCAGAACCCTGTGTGCGCCGTCAGGATTAAGGGCACCTCCTTTTTTGCCTTGGCAATTATGGACAAGGGGCCAGGCCAAAAATATTTACTTAACATATATATAGTAAACATCTCAAACATGTTCACATGGTACAGCTGATGAAACGCTTGGTTTATGTCGTGCACATGAGAGATGATGGGATCACTTACGGGCCTATTCTTCATCTGAAATATCTTTCTTAGCGACTTCTCGCTCAGTGAGTTCCCTCCTAATCCGTAAACCGTTTCGGTTGGCATTCCAACCAGGCAATCGATTTCAATGTGAGCCTTTAATTTCCTCCTCAATTGGTCATTGTGTAACAAATCCGATCCTTTGATTATTTCCGCCATGGTTGACTCTCTATTTTTCACGAACCACTAGGGTTTATCCTCCCGAAAGGGAACGTCTCGGATAGCCTCATGAATGTTGTTACTCCTTTGCATAGATTACCTCTGCGCGTTCAGAAATACCGCCATCCGAACTTTATATCAATTGTTGTCAACTGTGCTGGGGGAACTTCCGTGGCAGTTTTCCGAGCGGAATTACTATACAGGGCAGCGTCGCTGGCTAAGTTGATCGCCCATTCAGTTGGTCGTTTTTTATTTCCTTGTTTTACCACCGCGGTTGTTTCATCTTGCCCCTCTTTGAACCTATGAGAAATCTCCTTCACGGAAAATATGCTTTATACTCCCCCCTACACGGAGATTACATAGAAGATGCAATGAAGTGAGTGATCCATTCGTACACATAATAAGACGTCACTCCAGTGATTTTCTCCTTCTTTGCGCCACAAGTGGGTCTCTTTTAAAAAGGAAAAAAGAAAAAATTACTCTTACATCTCGTGGTGAGAGAACGGACCAACTTAGCATGCAGGAAAAAAAAAAAAAATAGTTCACTTAAATTCCATCACGCAAATATGCTCCTTGCACAAATCCAAAAGGGATGTAAAATTTGAAAAAAAAAAGATACAGCCACATCTTCCCAGGTGCATTCCAATTAGAGGCAACAATGGGTGAGCGTGTATCAATCATGGAAGCCTCTCCACGCTCACAAGGTTTCTGAGACCAAAGTGTTAAAGCGCCCATCTCCGCGAAGGTGGCCAACAAGATTAACGGCTCCAACTTTGTTACCACTGCTACCGCCGATAACGCTGGTAACATTGCCCCTCCGAGCTCCAAATGGACCAGGCAAGAAACGTGACAACAAGCGATGGGAAAGAAAAATCATCCATCCCCTCGAACAGCGGCAGCTGGTACTACCCATCCAGGAACCAGTTCTATCGCACAACTCGGAAAAAAGGTTATTACCTACGCTCAGCTGCAGACCGGACAATTCCCTTTGTTCCCTTGCTGCGAAGAGATCCACCATGGGAGTGCCCAATCTCAGGGCTCTGCTAAAGGAGCAGTACCCCCCCCGAACACACAACGCTTCTGCATAGACACCTCTTCCGCGCAGGGTACACCTACTCCCAGGAGGAATTAGATGTGGCGCTTAAAATCCACAACGCAGTTAATGAAGAAACATGGAAACGAATAATGAAAAAGGAACAAAAATATTTCGACCTTTGCAAAGAACAGAAGCTAATAAGATTCATTGGACTCCCAAACAAGCTGTCCCTCAGAGCCTTCATGCTTACCCTCATGGGGTACAACAGACCGTTTGATCGACATGACTGGTACATTGACAGATGCGGGAGTACCATCAAGTAAGTAGAGGAGGAGGCCAAAAAAAGGCAAAAAGAAAAAAAAAGAAAAAAAAAGGGCGTGCTGCAAATTGGTGCACTATGAATAATTGAGTACAACTAGGCTCTCTACCTCTCCTCTGGTGGACGCGTCCCTGGAAACGCCTGCTTAAGATTCGCACCGAGTTAGTAACCACCGCTTTCTGTGTGCCCCGGTTACACGCATCTATGCGCACTTATAACAACTACCTACCTCTACCCCATCCTCCCAGATACATCATAGACTACTACGACGGGAAGAGTGACGAGGGAGCCCCCGTTTCGATCTTCATCGACGTCAGGCCCCAGTTCAGCTTGGACAACATGGTCGATTATTTTAAAATGCTGTACATCAGAATATGCAGGTATTTCTTTTAGCAGGGTGGAGGTCCACCCCGTGATGCTTTTGGAGGCCTTATGCATATAGATACGTTCGTAGATTTTCCTGTGGATATGTATGTAGATACGCATATGGACGTGGTGCTCCCCCCCTTGGTAAGGTTTAGCGAGCGAAAAACTCAAAGAGACCATGGCTAGTGGATGCACTTTTATTGGCCAAAATATGATAACCGCATCAGGATTACTTTCTGTGGATGACCCCTTATCCAGAGCGTTTTCCATTGGAATTTTGTCCCACTAGGTGACATGAGGAGGTACCATCTGTACATCCAATTGTCCACCCCATTTGTGCTACCCACGGGCCATTTCCTTTTCCCCATGTTCTATCCCCCATTCTGCTTCGCCATTTTGTTTCCCCTCTATGCGCCGTCCCACTCGCCTGATATTCTTCCTGTTCATCCATGCAAAGTTTCCTTTTCCAAAATGAAGCTGCAATATTTACCGCTCATAAATTAACAGTTCTGTTAAGACGAAGTGTAACTACTTATTTTATTAAAGAAAAAGAAAAAGAAGAAAAGAGAAAAAGAGAGAGAAAAGAAGAGAAAAGCAAAGGAAAGGAAAACCGAAGGAGCAGGAGAACAGCTCAAATATGTAAATTACATTTATATGATGAAAAAAAGAAAAAAAAGAAGAGGGATTAAAAAAAGGGGAAAGACGCGCACTTTGCATTTGTGCACAATGAATGTTTATAAAATTACACGTGTGAATAAAAGAATCCTGGATCTGTGAAAACATCGATCTGGTTAAACAATTGGTTGAATGCACATAGTTCACTTGCCAGTGGACACATATGGGGCATGGGTGCGCGGGGTACGCATGCGAGTGGTTGCGCATGTGCGTAGGTCCCTATATGTCTGCGTCGCAAGTAAACGGGCATGCATGGGTTGACGAAAATACGTATATATACACACATACGTTTTATTCATATATATTTTTACACGTGTTCGCCCTCCTCCCCCCTTTGAATGGACTAGTTTAAAAAAAAGAAAAAAACAAGGTGCGAAAAAAGTACTTAACGCAAAATTACTATCTGAAAAGAATTCACACGGGGGGAGAAATGACGAAATGAGAAATGGGGGAGCTAAACACTTTAATAATCTTTTTTTCCTTTAATGCCGCTTCGCCTTTTTTTTCCTGCGCCGGTCGAGCGACCCATTCTGCGCGTTCCTCCGGCACAAATGGGTCTCTTCAACGTGAACTGTAAGCAACGTGCAACAGGACAAGGGCAACGCTGTTCTACACCTCCTCAGACATACCCGATTTCTCCTCTCTCGCAAAGGTGAAGTATATCCACTCTAGCATGTGCAGGTATAGAGATGTGTGAAGGGACAAACGTGTGGTCATGCAACTGCTTGTATGTGAAGCATAAGCGTGTGTAGGTGTGAGCAGTACACACCAGTTTGCCCCTCGAGCGTATCCTTCGGGAGGGGACTCCGTTGGCACGTTTGGTAAAGTTGCCGCATTGGGCTCACTTAGATCGATTCTATCACTTGGACGGCTCCTACCGCTTGGACAATTGTTCTTACCCCTTAGTGGCCTCTCCTTCCACTGTTCATCTACCGTGTCGAGCTCGAAACCAGGAAGCATGTTGGGGAGAAAACAGCTTAGCAGACCGTCCCCCCGCCCATACACGCCCTTGTTCACTGCGGGGATTGTAATACACATCTCCGTCCAAACGGCACGTACTGCTGCTTACGCCGCGCAGAATCAGGAAGTCAGAGCCTCCTCATTGCTCTTAGCGGCATCATCGTCATCTTCCTCATTATCGTCATACTCGTTCGTATCGACATTGCTATTTTCATCATTGTATGCACTGTTGTTACTTTCGTAGCTATTATAGTTGCTATTATTTTCGCTGCTACTGTAGCTGCTGTCCACATCACTCACAATGCTGTTGCTTTCGCTTTCGATTATGATGCCCAAGTAGTAATCAACGGCATAGGGAATGATTCTCTCCTTAATGGTTAAGGCCACTTCATAATCTCCTTCTATAATCATCTCCAACTGGGCTACTTCATGTTTACTTAACTGCTTTATAACATTTGAGTTGGGGACTTTGTGGCTTGTAAAAAAATGGAAGAAGCTATCCCTGTTAACTGTTTGCTGGACCGTCTTCACTTCTCTTGAATTTTTGTTATGTTGTTTCTTAACGACATTCTTTTTCAAGATGTTTTTATTGTCAAACCAATCGATAACGGTCGCCTCTGTGTGTAACAACACTGGCTCATTATCGCAATCGACACATTTCATATGATACGTTTTGGTCAACACGGAGTTGCTAAAGAACGGATTGGATGCAAAGTGAAAGGATAAAATAAATCCTTCTTTTTTCTCCTTATTTTTTTTTATATAATCACATCGAATGTCATTTAGGTACACTAAAATTTCTTCATCGTGATCTTCTATAACATGACTCACTGTGTTGTTGTTCCTCAATGCTCTTAACCAAAATTCGGGTAAATTTGGAGTACCAATTTTTGCTTCCCCATTTCCTACCAAAGCTTCTCTTCTCTTATCATAAATCGGCCCATACAAATCGTGGTACTTCTGCCTTAACAAAAATAACTCATACTCAAACTTCGACTCGTAATCATAATACTCCTTCTGGTACAGTTTCAGTTTCTTTAGCGTTTCTTTCTGTTCCTCCGTCAGATCCGTCATCTTCTCATCATCTATAACGGGGATAAGGAAAAAACAAAAAAGGAGGGTTAAACCCGTAACAACAAATACACCCTTGTGTTGTGTGCAAATGACACAAAACATGCGGAGTGTGTTACTCCACGAGGTTATCTCCACCAAATGACTAAGTCACGTTAGGAGGACGTGTCCAATTTTACCTATTTTTATGCTCTCCAGAAGCGACGATATTTTCTTTTCCTCCTCGGGGGGGATTGGCTACACGGTGTGCAAAAAAAGAGAAAAAATACATTAACGAGTGGGCAAATAAAAATATTAACAAGTTAGCTAATTTTCCGCTCAAACGCAGTTCCGCCCCCACATGGCAGGTGCTTTTCCGTGCATATTCATAACGTTGTGCGGAAAAAAAGAATCAATCAAATCGAGCACCACGAAAAAGGGGCTAATCTTAAGACAGGTGTACTTGCATTTCAACACAACCAACATGGAGAAGGCCATGCCTACATACACGCGAACATGTCGTACGTGTGCTCAACCCTCACAAGAGCAGTGTACACGAGAACAAATGATAGAAGAACAATTACGCCGTTTCAGAGGGACTGGAAAAGATACGAAGATACATGCACATGATACTGGGCATATCTATTACACAGAAAACATACACCGCAAATTTCGGAGAAACGCTTCTTCTCTCTAAAATTTGTTAATTACCTGGTTACTCTCTGTGGTTGCCATTTTGTATGAGTGGTTATGCTTCCTCGCTGTTGCGTACGAATATGTGCTCGCTTTGTTTCGCGTGGCTTCGCTTCGTTATGCAATTGCGATATGTATTATCCCTTTTATGTACGTTCCTTTTTGCCGCTTTTCTGTATTTCTTTGTGGATTTTTTTTCCCCTTTTGTTTTTTCTGGAGAGCGGGGGGTATCGTTATGATACATGAAATGTGAAAATTAACTACGTGGCACAATAAACGCTTTTACATAATTCATATTTATTTATATAAAAAGGGGAAAAAAGAAAGCAAAGGGGCAAAGGAAGAAGGGAAAACGCTTAACTTTTAAGGCGCGTAAAAAAGCACAATTTACATGGCAAAAAAAAGGGAAGAAATGTTTACATAATAATTTACATATAAAATATGCGTAGGCTATACAATACTGTACATGTTTCACAAAATGCTTTTTTTTACCTGCTAAGGCATGTACCCACAGATTCGCAAGAACACAAAAATGATAAAACTTGGGAAAATGAAAAGGGAAAAATTAAAAAAAGATAAAAAAAAGCAAGTGAATAAACTGAAATGACGCGAAATGTGGGGCATGCGCATAAGAAATGCATAGGGGTGACACTCATGATTTGTGAACTATGGGATGTCACCAAGCCGACTTTTCACTTTGTGTTATGTAGCCCCCATAGCCATTTGGAGCTATTTATTTTATTACTGCGGCAAGTAAAGGTGCGGGGGGGGCGAGCCATAAAAAATTCGTCACATATATAACATACACTGTGTTAATATGAATACATATATACAAGAGTAAAAATGTGCTGAACTTTTTCGTCGCACCTTTGAAGAGTCCTTATAGCCAGAAGTATTATGATAATATGATAGGGAAATAGCATCGCCCACACCGGGGTGCTGAACATTTGCCTTTTTTGCGTGTGGCATGTATGCAATACATAACGAAAGCGCTGCGCATGCCCCCCTCTAACTTCATATAGGTGTAAAGTAAAAAATGTGACGAATGGGTCATCAATTTTGTATAGGATTATTTTTTTTTTTTTTGTGTTATTAGCAAAGGGACGGGGCAGGAACACATGGCAATCCTTGAGAACGAGCGTACGCCACGAATATATGTATCGCCATCTATCTACGCACGTACAATTTGCATGCCTGCTGGGGGAGTCGTACATTACTTAGGACGGACTCCATTACACGCTGTGCTTCAGCAGAATATGGGAATGCCATTCAGCCCCTCCACCTTCTCACAAAATTGTGCGGACAGCACGCATATTTTCTGTTACATACCAAAGGGATGGCATTTATGAGTACCAGTCTATGGAATGGGAAGAGGAAGAGGTCCTCATTCACGAGAGTACATAAACAAGTATGTCACTCCAGGAACGTGTATGCACGTTTCCTTTTAAATTTACACGTTTAAATATGTGCATGCAGGTGTTGGTGAACAAAGCCAATTTTCAGGATCCCCTCCCGGACGAGTATTTTTACACGTCGATGAATCAAAAATAGGGGCTCAGATGGTACACAAGTAAGGGGTGCTACAAATATTATTACACCAGGACGATTGGCGCATCGACAGAAAAAACAGAAAAAACGGCTGCTTGCTTACCCCAAATTAGGTCCATTTTGTAGTACGCATCCTCTTAGGCACACACAATTGAATCGCCCCCGATGATGCAACTTGTTCACACCGTTATCAACGCCTGGTGGCACTTATTCGCACTCCGTTCCTATCCGACTTCACTCTTCTATTGTAACATAGGAGAGAAAAAAGCAAACGCGCGCTACAGAAGAAAAAAAAGAAAAAAAATGGACACCTGTATAAACCAATGCGATACACCCTCTTGTGCAAATCTGCTATGTTTCCAAGCCCTCATGGCAGCTTCCTTCATTCATCCGTGGTGTGCAAAATGAAAATTTTAAGAGGGAGAGGAAACGCCCCCTTAGCTTGAAACCCTTATAAACGTAATCCCTTTCTTATGTGGCGATAAAAGGGGATGTTGCGTAACCAAAATGAGTAATCAAGATGCATAACCAAGTTGCGTAACCAAGGTGAGTAACTACTTCGCGCTGATGCACAGGTAAACAGGGACGTGTGGTTAATGTAAAGGGCGAAAGCCAAAGGCGTTCCCTGTGCATGCGTTAAATTATGCATATTGGTATTTCTTTCCCACCGTGAGAATTAAGTTTCTGTACAACTGAGCCAAACGGTATAGCCTGCGTGGGTACCTCTCATTTACGTTAAGGTGGAAAGACAGTTAAGCAGGTTAACCGGACAAAGCAAATTCGCTTTGATATCACCCCGGACGAAGCTGAGCATAATAAAAATCAACCACCAGGTGGGACACGTAAAGAAATTAGACCACTCCGGTGGGCGCAGAAATGATAACATTTTATTTTCATATGAATGTAGCCTTGGGGAAGGGGCAGCGCGGAAGCACATTGTACTACGGGAAGTTGCCCTTCCTGCGATTGAAACCACAGGTAAGTATCGGGAAAATTCCCTGTTTCTGATCGTTCACTTAAAATTTACACCTTACTTGACTCTTGTGCACTTAACTATTTTAACATGTGTACACTCTTTCCAGATTCGCTAATGCACAGCGCACAAGAAAAGGTTAGCCTCTGTTACTAATGTGTCTGTTTTTTTTTTTTTTTTTTTATTTTACCACTTCTCTGGGGTGTACACACAAAGGGGTTATTTTACAACCGTCTTAAGTATGAACCCCAATTGGGGGAGGGACTAACATGCATCATGCACCATGGAACAGCTCTCTGTCATCAACGCGCTGGTAAATATAGACCTGTGTATTCCTAGGTCGCTATACCTATGCGTGTGAACAGGAACTACTTCTGCCATGCTGGGTGTATCGCTCCATTCCGCAGCCACCTTTGGTGACCACTGCATTGGGATCTTTTCTTTTTTCCTATATACTTTTCCTCTCGCGTTTGCCTCGTGTAGTTATGTTCATCCGTATTTTGGCAGAGAAGCAGAGGCTACCTCACCCACTGGTCTGCCCATCTGCTCCGCCACTCCCTGAACCCTTTTCCAATGGTGCTAAAGTAAGATCGACACACGCACACAACATGTGGACACAAGAGTAATTTTTCTCCATCCCGATTTGTACAACTTTTTTTTTTTTTTTTTTTTGCACTTTTTGGTTAAAATGCACATCAACCTGTGAGTAATCCATTGGGAAGATGAAATGTATAGAAAAAGATGGTCACCGAGAGTGGCAGTTAGATCGAAATGGTTTTTTAAACAAATGGGAAAGGAGAGTCATGTATGTGGGCACATACCCGCATACGTATGTATAGTTTACACAGTGCATGGTGGACCAAGAGCAGCAGCATTTTCGTCCCGCGGGAGGTTAAACCGTTTGACGGTATTCTAAACAGCAGAGGTAGTCAGCGTGGCGAGGAGCGATAAATTTCGCGCACGTGTGACTAGATGGTGGTTCGAACTAATTGGAGAAATTCCCGCCACGGGTACTCGCGCAAGATCGGTCTGGCGGGTACGCCGTTAATGTGTTGAGCGGTTAAACTGTTGGGCGGTTAAACTGTTGGGCGGTTAAACTGTTGGGCGATTAAACTGTTGGGCGATTAAACTGTTGGGCGATTAAACTGTGGGGCGGCTACACCGCTAAGCAACGGGGGAATTTCTACTGGGAATGAGAAAAAAAAACTCCGTACGCTGACGCACTGGTTTTCATATATACAGCGATGGGCCCTCATAGCGCGCGCGCAAAGTGAACTTGTTCTTCAATGAGAAATTTAGCGCGAGGATGCATAAGAAAATATGTACCAGAGGGGTTATGTAATTATACATCACTTCCGCAGTGCCGAACAGGCGTGCACTTGAGATGCGTCATGTATACCTACGTGAAAGGTTCGGTTTCTTTATATGCCTTACACGTACGCGCACCTGTTAAAGCAATGTTCATCATTACATTTTTTTTCCTTACGCTTACGCAGGTTACCCATTTGATAAGTGCGCCATCCCCCCCTTCGCGATTTTTGCATCCCCCGCGTGCGTACGCTATGAAGCGGCGCCCGTGTACACGAAAAAGTTTTAAAATGAAAAACAAAACATAAATTAACCACGAAACGTGAAAGAAGCAAATGCGCAAATGACACTTTATCCTCGTATACGAACACGCTAAGTTTGCCAGTAAGGGTGGACTACCCCGCATCCTCTCGTGCGTATGACGATATTCGCATGAAACTGCCTTCGTCAATTTTCATCGTTTTCAAATGGTTAAAAAAAAAAAAAAAGTATACAAACGAATGGAAGTGACAAGAAAAATTAAAAAAAAAAAAAATAACATAATTTTTTTTCACTTTTTTTGCTTGTTTTTGCTTTTTTTTTTTTTTTTTTTTTTTTGAGATGGAGTTTAAAAAAACGCTTGATTTCACACTTCCCTCTTTGTAAAGTCGTCACATTATTAAATAATTAAACCAACTCATTAGTAACACGGATAAAAATATAGAAGCAGCATGGCACTGAAAAGAATAACGAAGGTAATCAGCCAACTGCGTTTGCGCGCACAAGCAGCGCGGCTACACGAGCGCGATGGGACGCATGTGTCATCACTGCGCAATCACTTCGTCATCACTGCGACATCACTTCGCCATCACTGCGACATAACTGCGACATCACTGCCACATGACTGTATGATGATTGCACGTATGGGGCCACATTTCAAGGCACTTCGCAGTTTAGTGTAATTTCGCCCGAGGACGATGCTTTCATGTTTCCCCCCCCTCAACTGTGAATGCATATCTACAGTGATTCTCGTCTTCCCTGTCTGCGCCCCTCGCTGTCGTTCCAGCTGCGTTTTTTTTTCCACCCCAAATTGTGTTACTGCATAATGGCGGTTTTAAGCTACATATTCTGCGTAGCTGGTGGGCCCGCTTCCCCCACCGTAGATCCTGCACCCAACGTCCTCCATCATACACCCGCCATTTCATAACCCTTTCCGCGCTGTGACGTTTTCCATAACCCATTCGATGCACACACATGCTATTTGCGTAACCGTTGGGTTTAGAAAGTGTGAAACGACGCGGACGCCTTCTGCCTATTTAAGTGCACAATTTGAGGTCCTCGGGGAGAGAGGGACAAAGGAAGGTGCCCCCGCCGTGGACACCAAACTTTTCCACCTCTGTGGTGCCGACACCCCACACAACAGATGGTGCACATGTGCACAGACTGGTACACACAATTCTCCCTTTTTTTTCTTTTTTATTTCCTGGTGGATTCGTGTAGGAGCTACAAGACTTGAATAAAGACCCCCCCACGAATTGCTCCGCGGGGCCAATTGGAGATGACCTCTTTTTTTGGCAAGCGACGATAATGGGACCAGGGGACAGGTGAGCTCACCGAGAGGAAAACAAAAGGAAAAAAAAGGCGCGCTGTGGACGCACAGCTTAATCATTTCGCTCAAAGGAAGAGACCATACAGCGCTACTTCCCACGTGTCCACATTCGTATACCAGAATGATTATCCGTGATGAATCCCGCCTTGGTCTCTCCACACGCGTGCGAATATGCACGCATTCTCACGAACATCCCCCTCCCTTATGCATTATTCCCGCCACTTCACTCCCCCAGTCCCTACGAAAACGGTGTATACTTCCTGAACATAAAATTCCCCCCCGATTATCCCTTCAAGCCTCCCAAGGTAATTGGCCCCGCCGCGTTGGCAGTGTGCATTGGTGGCTCATATCAGAAGCCATTGTTAACCGCTCACATTTCTTTCTAACGTTGAGTTTGTGCGCGGTTCATATGCCAACCTCCTGTTTCGTTTTTTTCCACTCTCTACAGATCATCTTCACCACGAAAATATATCACCCCAATATAAACACGTCGGGCGCCATTTGCCTTGACATCCTGAAGGACCAATGGAGTCCCGCGCTAACCATTTCGAAAGTCCTCCTGTCCATATCGTCGTTATTAACTGACCCCAATGCAGGTGAGTAGGACGATGTGTGCACCCCCCCAAAGGTGCATACGAGTGGCACATTGCCCCGTTGTGTCATTATGTTTCAAAAAACTTGTACCCACCCCCTTTCCTCCTCTTAGACGACCCGCTCGTGCCCGAAATCGCCCACGTCTACAAAACAGACAGAACCAAATACCATCAAACTGCAAAAGCCTGGACGCAGAAATATGCCCAATGAAAATTATCTGAATAATTCAAAATAAATTTAATTAAATC